GTGATTTGCACATATATGCGTGTACATGCCCCAACCCGACCCTCTTAACGCAAAGCATAACCCTTGGGCGTGCGATGGTTTCCAGTGGTGGTAATAATGAGACACTTCTGCTTCCCAGATGTTCTCAGTTCTCTCCTGTATGAAGTCCAGTCCAGCCTGAAGAAGAAGTTCCTTGGTACGCCTGTGAAAAAAGTCAACCTCGGAACTGGGGCCCCTCTCGTCCCGACTCATCTGATCAAAGAAAACATGACAGGTACGCACCCAACGCATGTAAAGTGTTCTAATAGAAAGTACTATTCATATGATTCCATGAATTGGGCAGGAAATAGATAACTATATGACTAAGATACACTATATTGCCAAAAGTATTGGGACGCCTTTACACAAACTTTAATGGCATCCGAGTCTTAGTCCGTAGGGTTCAGTATTGGGTTGGCTCCGCCCTCTAATGGCATCCCAGTCTTAGTCCGTAGGGTTCAGTATTGGGTTGGCTCCGCTCTTTGCCGCTATAACAGCTCCGCCTCTTCTGGGAAGGCGTCCACAAGGTTTAGGAGTGTGTCTATGGGAATGTTGGACCATTTGTGAGGTCAGGTACTGATGTTGGGGGAGGGGCGTCCCAATACTTTTGGCAATATAGTGTATATGTCATGTATGTGTATAGGAGTATACAGTCAGCCATATTGGATTGGGTTATTTAAATTATTCGATATGCTTCAACTAAACATATCCTTCGTGTAGCAATATAAAAGAAGGGACATTTCTATTTTTTGATGTGGTACCTTACACCAGGTAACTGTCATATCACATAGTTGGTCCTTATGTGATTTATTTCTCTTTGATGTCTGAAATATTTTCTGCAGCCTTCCTCCCCCCAATTTTGCCGCTCACAAGAGAAATGCTAGTGAGCAGGGGCGTAACTAGAAATCACAGGGCCCCATAGCAACATTTTGTATGGAGCCCCGTGATTTCTAGTTACACCCCTTGCAGAGCCCACCTGAGATCCCAAACAGCCCACCTGAGAGTGACCCTGCAGAGCCCGCCATAGACTCTCTATGGTGGGCTCTGCGGGGCCTCAGGTGGGCTGCACACCTCTTACCTGTCAGCGCGGGCCCCGCCTCCTCTTCCATCGTCTTCTCCTCTATCAGCCACAAGTGACGGCCAGCGCACTGATATGCCATAGCGACCCAGGCGGCCGGGGCCCCCCTGTGCCCGGTCCCCATAGCGCGGCTGCCTAGGTCGCTATGGCGATTGTTACGCCACTGCTAGTGAGGCATAAGCCTGCGAATTAGAAGGCCCCCCGTAAGGAATAAACCTGAGAAATGCACTGAATGGGTTTTCATTGTTCCAACACAACTAGTTCTAATGATTATCACGCAGCTTCAATGAGTCCATGCGTGTTGTCTGCCGTTGTCATCGTGTGTGTGTGTGTGTATTGCTGACGCCATGCTGTGCCCGGTCAGGTGGAGCTGCCTTTGGCTACGATGAGTACTTCGACCGGAGGATTGAGGAGAAGAAGCAGGACCACACGTACAGGGTGTTCAAAACTGTGAACCGCAGGGCTGACGCCTACCCGTTCGCTGAGGATTTCTCTGACCTCCAGAGCAGCAAGAAGGAAGTGTCCGTTTGGTGCAGCAATGACTACCTGGGCATGAGCATGCACCCTAGGGTGCTGCAAGCTATTGGGTGAGTACCGACATGACACGGGAGTAGACCTCTTGCAGGTGAGTGATCCAGCGGTACGCCCCTTTCAGGATGAGATAGAAGGTTTGCTATGTACTATGGGTACTTAAAGGAGAACTATGAGGCGAGTGATTTTCACTCATCCTCATAGCTCTGGCCGACCTGTGACAATGAGACTGTCACGGGCCGGCTCAGTCGATCGGGAACACATGCCGTCGCTCGCTCACTTCTCGATCTATCCCTGCAGAGTGGTGGCTGTCACTCACGGCTCTCTGCAGGGATTCCCCCCCCCCCCTCTCCGCTCCGATCCTCCAGCGCTGACTGGCGGAACGGACGGGGGAGGGGGCGGGTACAGCTGGCTCTGCCTCTAGATAGGCGGAGCCAGCTGTCAATCACGCAGCTGGGCGGATACAGACAGTAATGTCGGGATCAGTCCCAGGCTGCGGCGTCTCAGTATACCGCGAGCTGTAGCTCCCTATATACTGAGCCTAGGGTGACGGGAGGACGCTAGTTTGTGTCCTCCCGTGACCCTGAGGAGAACTATTATTATTATTATACGGGATTTATATAGCGCCAACAGTTTGCGCAGCGCTTTACAATGTAAGGAAGACATTACAATCACAATGCAATTCAAGACAGGATGGTAAGGAGGGCCCCGCCCCTGAGGGCTTACACTCTAAAAGGGGAGGGGCTAGTGATAAAGGAGGAGGGAGCTGTGGGGGGATGAATGGTTCAATGGTTAGGTTGAGGTGGGATCGGCTTCCCTGAAGAGAAGAGTCTTCAGGGATCGCCTAAAGACAGTCAGGGTGGGAAACAGACGGACAGGTTGGGGGTAAAGAGTTCCAGAGGATGGGAGAGACACTAGAGAAGTCCTGGAGGCGAGTATGGGAGGAGTTGACTAGGGAGCTGGAAAGCAGGAGGTCTTGGGGAAACTATGGGGGAGAAGCCCTGACCCCCATAGTTCTCCTTTAACTATTAAAAAATCGAAAGAACATTATAAAAACAAATTTTTTCATTCTACGTATTACTGGTGTACGGCCAGCTTAAGTATTTTAAGTGTTGCCTCAGCTGCATATGTGGGATGGGGAATTTCCCGGCCCGCAGCTGATTTGGCAGGTGGCCCAAGGCACTTCAGTGTTTGGAGGAGCTCAGGTTCAGCCCCGTCCCTAGTCACATATGTTCTGTCTCATTGTTGGACATTTCAGAGATTAAACAATGGCCAACCCATTTCATAGATTCAATCCACTTCATCGATCTCAATCATGAAGGGGGACTAAAAGGCATATAGGCGTGTTCTATCACCGTGCCTAGTGGTCCTGACTAGTGATGAGCTCGGGCGTGTTCTATCGTCGTGCCTAGTGGTCCTGACTAGTGATGAGCTCGGGCGTGTTCTATCACCGTGCCTAGTGGTCCTGACTAGTGATGAGCTCGGGCGTGTTCTATCGTCGTGCCTAGTGGTCCTGACTAGTGATGAGCTCGGGCGTGTTCTATCGTCGTGCCTAGTGGTCCTGACTAGTGATGAGCTCGGGCGTGTTCTATCGTCGTGCCTAGTGGTCCTGACTAGTGATGAGCTCGGGCGTGTTCTATCGTCGTGCCTAGTGGTCCTGACTAGTGATGAGCTCGGGCGTGTTCTATCGTCGTGCCTAGTGGTCCTGACTAGTGATGAGCTCGGGCGTGTTCTATCGTCGTGCCTAGTGGTCCTGACTAGTGATGAGCTCGGGCGTGTTCTATCGTCGTGCCTAGTGGTCCTGACTAGTGATGAGCTCGGGCGTGTTCTATCGTCGTGCCTAGTGGTCCTGACTAGTGATGAGCTCGGGCGTGTTCTATCGTCGTGCCTAGTGGTCCTGACTAGTGATGAGCTCGGGCGTGTTCTATCGTCGTGCCTAGTGGTCCTGACTAGTGATGAGCTCGGGCGTGTTCTATCGTCGTGCCTAGTGGTCCTGACTAGTGATGAGCTCGGGCGTGTTCTATCGTCGTGCCTAGTGGTCCTGACTAGTGATGAGCTCGGGCGTGTTCTATCGTCGTGCCTAGTGGTCCTGACTAGTGATGAGCTCGGGCGTGTTCTATCGTCGTGCCTAGTGGTCCTGACTAGTGATGAGCTCGGGCGTGTTCTATCGTCGTGCCTAGTGGTCCTGACTAGTGATGAGCTCGGGCGTGTTCTATCGTCGTGCCTAGTGGTCCTGACTAGTGATGAGCTCGGGCGTGTTCTATCGTCGTGCCTAGTGGTCCTGACTAGTGATGAGCTCGGGCGTGTTCTATCGTCGTGCCTAGTGGTCCTGACTAGTGATGAGCTCGGGCGTGTTCTATCGTCGTGCCTAGTGGTCCTGACTAGTGATGAGCTCGGGCGTGTTCTATCGTCGTGCCTAGTGGTCCTGACTAGTGATGAGCTCGGGCGTGTTCTATCGTCGTGCCTAGTGGTCCTGACTAGTGATGAGCTCGGGCGTGTTCTATCGTCGTGCCTAGTGGTCCTGACTAGTGATGAGCTCGGGCGTGTTCTATCGTCGTGCCTAGTGGTCCTGACTAGTGATGAGCTCGGGCGTGTTCTATCGTCGTGCCTAGTGGTCCTGACTAGTGATGAGCTCGGGCGTGTTCCTCTATCACCGTGCCTAGTGGTCCTGACTAGTGATGAGCTCGGGCGTGTTCTATCGTCGTGCCTAGTGGTCCTGACTAGTGATGAGCTCGGGCGTGTTCTATCGTCGTGCCTAGTGGTCCTGACTAGTGATGAGCTCGGGCGTGTTCTATCGTCGTGCCTAGTGGTCCTGACTAGTGATGAGCTCGGGCGTGTTCTATC